CTGAATAATTTCCCCGAAGCTTTTTATTGTTCCGGACCCCTCCATTAAATCGGGTGTGACATTACCGCACAACGTGCACTGCACAAAGCCAAATGCAACGGCACTTTTTGATGCGGTTGGGAATCGCCTGTATCGGCGGGGGTCCTCAGACGCCCCAAATCCCGGGGCCGGAGGGGCGCAAACGCTCCGTCCTCAGACGCCAGGCGGGGCAGGGCGGCAGCAGCGGAAGCCACGTTGTCGGAAGCCGCCATGGCTCAGGCGGTCCCAGTAGCGAAAATAAGGGCACAACAATAGGCGGTTTGAGCACTCGAGCTTGAGCCAAAATGGCCGTTGCGTCACAGTTGCAGCAAGCGTGCCTGCCGTACCAATTCGGGCTTAGCACGCGGGCTGGCACCGAAGCCCTGGCCCCGTGTCCTACGTCTGGCCATTGAGGTCGATCCGCGCATGACGGTTCTGTCCGTCGACGCTGCTGGCGCATACGACCACGTTTCCCGCGGAGCTATGCTGAGGGCGCTGCATGCCCGACCTGACCATTCCGACCTTCAAGCCCTTCTGCCGTATGCCAGGTGGTCCTATGCCACGGCTAGCTCCTACACGTGTGCGATTGCCCGGGGTGAGTGCCATGCCATCGTGCAAGCTGAGGGAGGGGAACAGGGGGATCCCTTATTGCCCGGGCTTTATTCCCTCGCTGCCCATCCCGCACTCCACGACGTGCAGGCATGCCTCCGCGAAAGGGAGGCTGTGTTCGCGTACCTCGATGATACCTACTTTGTGGCGGCCCCTAAGCGTATCCGGGAACTTTATGCCATCGTTGAGGACGCACTTTGGCGGCACGCGCGGGTCCGCCTCAACGCGGCCAAAACGCAGATCTGGAATGCTGTCGGCGACGAGCCCGCTGACATCCGTGGCCTGCAGGCGGACGGCGGCGACCCTGTTTGGCGATTGGGTTTTGCCACGCGACAAGCCGGGCCTCAACGTGCTGGGTGTGAAAGCTCCAGACCTGCAAGCCTCCAGTCTAGTGTCTTTTGCTGTGCATGCAAAGCATTCGCACATTCGAGAAGTGAGTGTACATTCGATACCGAAGCGTGGGGCTTAGAACTTGCAGTCAGAGACAAATTGATGGCCACTGTGGGACATTGAATCCCACAGTGGTAGCGGAGCCTCCGGTCATTAGAGACCCGGGGGCAGACGCGCCATGGCTGCGAACGACGACCGCGTGACGCTTGAGTCCTTTGATGGAACTGACGTTGCTGCGTACAGGAAGTGGAAAGGCGTGCACAATTGATGCTGGCTGCTCTTCCCAACACTGTGCCAAGAGAGAAATTGGGACCGAAACTTATGCAGTATATCAAAGGTGAAGCTGAGCTGGTCTGTGAGTCGATCCCTGTAGATAAGCTTTGCAAGGAGGACGGAGACCAGCTGGTTTTTGCGCTTCCCGACGAGAAGTTTGGACCTCAACCAACAGATCTACTGCATGCGGCTTTGAAAGAGTTCTTTTATGAACTTTATGTCAAGAACGGCGAGACGTATCAGAACTTCCAGGCCAGGTTCTTTCACGCCAACCAGAAGCTGGAGGAACAGGAGGTCAAGCTCCTGGCAAAGGTGCTCGGCTTCATGATGGTCAAAAAGCTGCGACTCGACCCTACTCAGGAGTCCCTGTTGCTAACAGCGACAAAGGGTTCCATGGACTATAAGGACGTGGTGGCTGCTGTTAAATTTGTGTTCCCCGAAGGCAAGGGAGCCAGTGGCAAGCAGTCCAAGGAGGTGTTCTTCACGGCCACCGCCGACGAGAGTCCAGATGATGAGAACGAGGACTTCCAAGATGCCATGGCAGCGGTAGAAGACATGCAGGCCCAGGACCTCGACGAGGAAGACATCCTTGATGCTTACGAATCTTATGTGGAGATTCGTAGACGAATGGCCGAGAAGAAGAAGGCACGTGGCTTTACAAGTTCCTCTTCAGAAGCGCCGAAGTGGCGGCTCACGGGTACCGTGAACGGCCGCATCGAACAGCTGAAAGCCAAGACCAGATGCCACCTATGTCACAAGGTGGGACATTGGCGCAAAGAATGCCCGCTTCGAGGCAAGAACGCTGGAGCAGGCAAGGGGAGCAGAGCCGCGGCCTCGAGTTCATCGGCAAGAGCTTCTGAAGCCAACCTTGTGGAGGAGACGAGCGACGTCTTCATCACGGAGGAAGGCGAGGCGAAGGACTTGCTGAAGCGCTTCTCGAACCGGAAGTAGGCCTGGAACAGAAGCTTGGCGACGGATGTGGGCAACCCTGGCTTCGCAGACAGCCACTCCACTGGAAATCGCCAGCGCTTGGCTTGTGAGAATGGTGTCTTCGAGCGGTGGCGCCATGGCCGAAGCATACGAGACGACGGAGAGTCCCCAGTGGTCATCGCAAGCAGCCCGCTTGCTTTTCAAGGTGCTCTTCAAGAAGTACTGAGCGCAGATGCCCAAGAAGGTAGCGCAGATTTTGCACATGATGTAGTGTTAGCCAGCTGTGGTGTACCGGACACGGCCTGCAGACGCACACTTGTTTTGGGGTCTATTGCTGAGCTCCTCTCGACTCAGGGGTTGAGTGTCAAGCGGGTTAAGTGCAGGAATCGGTTTAGATTCGGCAATAGTGGGACGCTTGAGAGTGAGGAGGTTGCATACTCCCCGCCAAGGTTGGTAGCAGGGTGATTTGTGTGAAAGCAGCTGTCCTTAGAGGACATGGAAGCGCATTCCTTTGCTCCTGAGTAAGGAATTCTTACGTAGTTTGGGTGCTGTTTTGGATATGTCTAGTGATAGTTGTTATTTTAGGGCCCTTGGAGAGACCGTCCAACTTCGGGAGACCAACAGAGGGCACTATGGCATTCCCATGTTTGAGAATGTGCAGGCAGGCCAGGTTGAGTTCCAGGAGGGCAAGATGGTAGCGTCGGATTGCTTGGAGTCAGTGCTGCAGAGCTGTGTTGTGTCGGGTCAGAGCTACGATATCAGCATGCTGGAACGACCGGATCATGGTGAGCAGCTAGCCATTAAAGATCAAGAAGAGATAGTTCCACCTCCGAAACCCCCGCTTGATCATGCAGAGCGTCCGGCCCGCAAAGGTCAGCAACGACATGAGGGCTGTTGTTCAGCACTATCAAGGTGCGACCGCCGAGGAGATTGTGGGGGGCACGAAGGCTTTGGACACCGCGCCGGACTCAGAGGCCGACGAGGTGACCGAGATCAACGGCAAGACGATGATGCAGGTGGGGAAGTACAAGTACAAAAAGACGTTCTCCGGCATATACCAGGACGACAAGCTACGTGGGCTGGCTTCGAGGGCACGGAGCCAAGAGCGACCTCACCGACCCGCTCATGCAGCTCAAGGCGTACATAGCCCACCGCGATTGCAACAAGTTCAACAGGCTGGCGGCGGTCATGATCTCGGAGAAGGCGACGCCGAAGGCAGTCACCTTTGGGAGGATGAGCAGTCCGCCGAAGCGCCGCATCGAGAAGCAACCAGATCGTCTGATCGGCGACCCAATGCAGACCGAGGTCGACGAGACTCTTTGGATCAGAGTGGGAGAGAATCCCAGACTGGTTCGCAAGTGGGAGGACATAGTCGAGCAGAAGATGGTGAAGCACACCGAGCAGAAGCGCGTCATGGTCAATCGGGTCCATCGGGATCAGATGAGGGTCCAGATGTTGGTGGAAGCAGTGATGAGGTGAAGATGAACCGCAAAACTCGACGGAAGCTGCGGAGAGCTGTGGAGTCACTGGCAAAGGGCCGGCCACCGCAAGATGAGTGGAAGCCAGAGGACACGGACACAGCAGATGTTTTCCATATCAACATGGGACAACATGATTTTCCAAGTTCCAACGGGGACATTGCAGAAGTATTTTCACTTCCGCGAGTGGTTCCCAGAGCTGAGCAAAAAGGGCTACATGGGTGTAGGTCCTATGATATAGGTAATGGTTGGGATTTCTTGAAACCTGAAGACCGCAAACGCTGTAGGGAAGAACTTGAGTCCTGCAAGCCACGCATGTTGATTGTCAATCCTCCGTGTGGACCCTTCTCGTCATGGCAATTTGTGAATAGTAAGTACGGTAAACCCACTACTAGAGAGATGGTTGCTGCCAGAACGCTTCTTGACTTTGCGAGCCAGGTGTGTGAGATGCAGGTTGCCATGAACAGTTATTTTGTGTTTGAGCATCCAGTTTCCGCTGTCAGTTGGCAAGAGCCGTGCATGGAACGGTTGTCCAAGTGCAAACATGTGAGGGATGTGCGTTGTGATCAGTGTATGTTTGGCCTTTGCGATCCCATGACTAAGAAACCGTATCAAAAAAGAACCAAATTACGTACCAACTGCAGTTTCGTTGAGGAGCTCATGTCGTGCACATGCGATGGCAGTCATGTTCACCAGAGGCTTGAAGGTCAGACCAAAGTTGGGGGAGCATGGGTAAACCGGACTTGTGTTGCTCAAGTGTATCCTCAACAGTTCGTGGACAAGCTGATCCAATGTACACGCAAGGCTGTCAGAGAGAGAGAGAGAGAGAGAGAGAGAAGTTTTGGCGGCGGAGGACTTGGATGAAAGGTGTTTTGTGGAGGACGCGGAGTCGGCGCCCGAAGGAACCGACGGAGGCATCCGAACGAGCGAGCGAAGCGTCCGAGGCGTCCGAGCGAGCGAGCGAGCGAAGCGTCCGAGGGTAGAAGCGAGAGCGGGCGGCCGGGCGAGAGCGAGCGACCGACCGAGGCGTTTGCGTCCGAGAGGTTGCGCGAGGATCCGGGTCCCGACCGACGCGAACGAGAGATGCGAGAGAGCGTGAAAACGTGCCATGTTAACTTGGGTCACCCTTCCAAAGAGCGATTCCTGCACATGTTGAAGTCCGCCGGAGCAAGCGCTAGGGCGATCAAGATTGCTAAAGAGCTTAAGTGCGACATTTGTGAAGCCAAACGGCCACCCCCTTCTAGACCTGTTGCCAAGTCACGTCGTGCACAGCAGTTGAACGAGCAAGTCAACTTGGACACGTTTGAGCTTCCCATTTTCCAATCAAAAAAACTGGAACATTTATGATGAGGGAACTGGGTTGCAGATTTGCACGCCGTTGTGGAGGGGCAAAACGGCTGAAAGGGTTCGGAAATCATACAGAAAATCATGGAAACGTTGGTGTGGTTGTCCGAAGCGCATCCTTACTGACAATGGTGCTGAGTTTGATGGGGCTATGCAAGAAGGTCTTGAGCTTGATGGCAGTTATGTTGATCGCATTGCTGCCTATGCACAGTGGCAAGCAGGGGTCACGGAAAGGCATGGAGGGACATGGAAGAACATGTTCCAAAAAACTTTTGAGGAGACTCAGCCCAACGGCAAGGCGGAGGTCAATGAACTGATCGATCATGTTAATCATGCTAAGAACTCCATGTGCCGCAAGCACGGCTATGCGCCGTATCAACATGTGTTTGGTTGTGATTTGCGTCTCCCTGGCAGTGTCGAAGATGTACTAGGGGTGTCCCATAACAGTGCTGTGTACAATGGTGTAGATAGCGTGATTCGATCCCATGAGCTACGACAAGCAGCACGGCGAGCATTCGTGGCGATTGACGAGGATGACAAAGTCAGGCGGGCCATCGATCGGAGAAGTCGACCACAACGAGGTCCCTTTGACTTCGGAGACTACGTGTACTATTGGAGGACATACCCTCGCGATGGTGCACATGGACGGTGGCACGGACCAGGCGTCATCATCGGCAAGCACGGCGATTCGCGGCTGTGGGTAGCAGTGGGGACTAAGGTCCTCAAGTGCGCACCAGAGCAATTGAGGCGCACTACAGCTGATCAGGAGGCGGCCATTCGAATGGTGAGCGAGGACCTGGTCAACAAGAAGCGCGGCAGCCAGGGCGCACAGGTGTACACCGACATCAGCAACGAGGCATTCCCGCCGGAAGACATGGACGTGCAGGACGACAACGACAACGAGGGCGACATCGAGAGATCCCGGAAGAGGAGTCGAGAAGCGGACGTCGAAGCAGAGCAGGACGAGTTCGCAGGCTACGAGCCGTCGCCCAACGAGATAGCGATCCCGGAGGATGACAACATGGATGGAAGCGAAGGCGAAACCCAGATACCGGAGTCCACGGCGATGGATGTGAATGAACAAAGCTCAAAACGGGCATCAAGTGCTGTTCCTGGTGATGAAAGGCACCATCCAACATCGACGACCGCAACAGCAAAACCGTCACGACCATCGGCAGCTACAGGTGAGTACGGGCCTCAGCGCAAAGAGCATGGCTACGCACGCTATGAAGAGGTGCCAACCCGAGTTCCTTCCGAACTGCAGAAGGCACTGAATCGAAGCGTGGAGATGCTCGATGTGGGCAACACTCGCCTCCATCGGACACCACTGGAAATCCCTGTCGGTGATGACGAGGCCGAAGATGCATTGGAAGCTTTCCTCGTGGACAAAGGGCTGTCCCTGGACGTGTACCTTGCCCAGAAGAACCGCACCGAGGTGAAGCTCAAGGACATGACGGCGAAGGAGTTAGTTCAGAAAGAAAAGGGCATGGTCAAGGAATGGGATAAGCTCGTGAACACAAAGTCCATCAAAGTGCATGTGGGTGACGAGGCAAGGCGACTCCGTAGCACCATTGATCCCAAGAACATGCTTGAATCTAGATTTGTGTACACTCGAAGGGAACTCCCCGAAGATCCCCAGCAGACTGAGATCAAATCTAGATGGTGCATTAAGGGCTATAAGGATCCCGCCATTTTTGGAGGTTGAGAGACAGTCTCCCACGTTGTCCGCTGATGCGTTGAGCGTTGTGCTTCAAGTATCACCCCTTACTGAGAAAATTAACCCCCCCCCCCCCTTGCAATCATTTCCACCCTAAACCCTCCCCCCTGCAATCATTTCTGGCCTTGTCCGGCTAACCCCCCCTGCAATCATTTCTCGG